GAGGTGGGGGCGGGGGCAGGCACCCTTCGTGGGCACCAGGGAGGTTTCAGGGCTGCTTTGAGTAGCCCACAAGAACAATGCGAGGGTGTGGAGTGCAGGGAGTCTTGGTCTGGGCCTTGGAGCCCGGGGTCATCCCCCCTCCTTCATGGCCTCCAGTGGCCACTGAGGGTCCTCTAGTCTCACACCAGGGCTGGAGGCCACGGGAGGTGACTGTGGAGAGGCCTGAGCCTGGGAAGGCGGCCTGGAGGGCAGTGGTGGGCGAGTGGCTCAAGCAAGCATGGGAGTTACTCGGTAGTTACCACTGAGCCGGTTTGGGTGCTGTCTGCCGGTCAGGGCTCTTCACTCTCTTTTCTTATTGGCTTGAATGCAGGAGTCTGGCAACTGGGGGTGTGGGGAAGGCAGAGGGGAGGCGGGGCTGTCCTAGGATTCCCCCTGGAGTGACCACGGACTGCTTGGCCAAGCGGTGAGAGTGGGGGGGGGGGGGGGGGGAAGGCAGAGAGGAGGAGGGGCTGTCCTAGGATTCCCCCTGGAGTGACCACTGACTGCTCGGCCAAGAGGTGAGAGGGCTTTGTGTAACCTGTCTGAGCCCCAGTTTTCTCATCCGAAGAATGGGTATCCCAACCCCTTCCACACCAGATTGTGAGGTTCCCTGCGATCATGTGTATGAGCAAACGCGCTTTTAAACGCTAGCACTCTGCACAGGTGCGTGGAGTTGTTCTTTTAAGTCTCCCCCACATCCTCCCCAGGCTTCAGGGAGATCTTCGGGTCCAACAGTCAGTTTCCTTCTTTCCTGGAGTGGCCACAATCCCCTTTCTAAGAAAATGGGGTGGTACTGAAAGAAGTGACACTTTCCTGAGAGGGGCTGATGGGAGCCAGCATTTCAGAGGTCACCCCTGGCGTCCAAGGTGGACTGCCGCTTGTAACCCCAAGAAGCTCCTTAAAGGACTGGACCCTGAGCTACAAAACCGGCAACTGGTGGTGAGAGCAGCTTCCAATGAAAAGATGTGGGAGGCGGCCACAGGGGAGTCGAAGGTACGTCCCTGGCCTCCCTGCTCCACCTGCGGCCCAAGGCCGGTTGGAAGCCACCTGCCTGTCTCCGGGGGCACCTAGCAACCGTCAGTGCCCTTGTGGCCCAATGGAACCGCTGCTTCTGGGGCTCTGGAGGGGAACCGGACAACCCACAATGGGGTGTTGGGGGGGGGGGAGCAGGAGGCTGGAGGTGTCTCCACCCTTGCCCAGCCAGAGCAAGAGCCCCACATTCGCGAATTCCTGCCTCTCTGTCCGTGTCTGTCTGTCCCTCGCTGTCCTTACTTGGCCCGAGACTTTCATGTGAAGGCAGGTGAGGCAGAAAGAGAGCTGGACCTAGAGAATCCGGACAGGTGTGACGGTGATGACTTTCAACGTGATGCAGGAGGGATAATGTCAGATCCTGCGTGTGGCCCCACGCATCAGTGTGGTGTTCCTGGCTCTCCAAACCGATAGACCTCCGGAGACCCAGCCGCTCAGAGGCTCCTGCTGACGTGCAGAGTAGGGCAGCCGGGGCATCAGAGGCGGGGCTCAGGGCCCAGACTCTCCTGCTAGGGCTCAGCCCCCAGGACGAACACTGCACAATCATGCGCTTGATGTTGCAAGGGTTTTCCAGCGAACCCTGCGCCTATTCCACGGCCTCACCTCGCCGGAGAACCCG